TCCCCCCTCAGCCTTCTCTTGTGGAGGCTGAATAGGTTCAGGTCCCGCAGTCTCTCACTGTAGGGTCTGCCCTGTTGTCCCCGGATCATGCGGGTGGCCCTCCTCTGGACCCTCTCCATATTGTCCACATTCCTCTTGAAATGGGGCGCACAGAACTGGACACAATACTCCAGCTGTGGCCTGACCAGCGTCGCGTAGAGGGGGAGGATCACCTCCTTGGCTCTACAGTCTGAACCAAATTAGGTAATCCCTCATGGCCAGTAAAAAAATTTTAAGAAAATGTATTTTAAAAAGAAATAAATAGTTGCTTTCTTATGAAGAAGTGAAAATGAGATATTTTTGTTTTTGTCCTCAATTATCAGGGAAACTACACTAAGAATGGAGAAATGGGGATTTCTGCAGACTGAATATGGTAAAAGCTAGATGAATATTAGTTAATATCTCGTAATCCTGCTACATTGCAGCTCAGTTTGGAATGTTTCTTTTATCAACTGATGTACTGAGATTTGAAAGGGGGTATATTCGCATTGTAATATAAAACTTTCCCAGAAAGAAAGGGGGAGGAAATTTTATCAGATAAAACTTGGAGTTTTGCTGAGAAGACAGCAATTTTTCTAGACAATTGCAATCTCTTAAGTAGTGCAAAGGAAACTGTCAAGATAGGGTAAAGGTGAGCACACAATAGACAAATGCAGGTTGAGCTGATGGAGACAGTAAAATCGTAAAATGCATTTGTAAATGTATAAAGCAATGACTTACTGGTCAATACATATGTACGTGCGTGCCTTCTCCCTCTCCTCCTCCCTCTCCCTGGACAAAGAATAAGGTATAGGACCACAACCAAAGAAAGATAATATTTGGAAACATTTTTCTGGTCAAAAAGTCAAATGAACCCTTTTAATTTACCATCTCTTTTTGTTCTTTAGAGTTCTGCTTTGTTTATACTCCTTATTAGCTTGTAAATGTTTAAACTCTAATTTTAGATGTACTATTTTAGCAAACATTTTTTTTAGTTCTAGTCTTAGAGTATCATTAATAGCTGCTAGCATTTTTGACCTAGCATCTTTAACATGCATGCACGTACACATGCACATACACACTTATAGTAACGGTTTCATTTTGAGTATTTATTTCTAATTCATTTAAAGAATCCTTTTCCTGTCTTTTCATTATGTTTGTTACAGCTTTGTTGTGATAGAATAAAAATGAAGTACCCTTCAAATCTTTTAACACTTGTAAGTTTTTAATCAAAACCTTGAAATGTCTCTGGAAAATTGAATAATACTCCAATGCTTACGTTTAATGCTTGACTTGCAGTAGGCATATATACATATTTGCAAATTGCCAACTGCAGGAAAAAAATGTAATATCTGACATCAGTGTAAGGCCTCTTCCACCACCCCCAAAACAATAAAATGAAGCAAAACTGAAAACTGTCAGTATTAACCAAAATACTATGTACTTTATTCTTAGGTGTATGTGGCTGCTTTTGCAGTATCTGCATATGCATCCAGTTACTACAGAGCTGGAAGTAAGCCATTTAATCCTGTACTTGGAGAAACCTATGAATGTATCCGTGAAGATAAGGGCTTCCAGTATTTTTCAGAGCAGGTATTGTGTTTTGTGTTACATAAACATACCGTTGTCTATTTAATAAGCTAATTAATTTTGGATGTGTGGCAGGAGTCCACTGGTGCTAGCAACAAAATGTGCAGAAGCTAAAGGTAATTTGTTCCCATAAGACTCAAAGGACACTACAGAATTACAATAGAGATGTTTTCATGCTGCCAAAATGCACCTCAGTCTGGGGTATAACATGTTAATAGCACCCTGGATTTTCTTGATCTCCCATCCAAAAACAAGTGTCTGACTGTGCAATTATCCTGTAAAATCTGGAATCACAGCTTAGCATGTGGTTGCAGGACATATATACAGTAAAGCAAAGAAGGTCTGAGTGTTTCTGCAAATAGTTTCCCAACAAGAGAATGATTAAAGTATAACAAAATACAAGGTTGGAAACCAGCTAAATGAAGCAGAATTGAATTGTTAAAATGCTAGACTTAAAAAGGTGTGGGGTGGGGGGATGGAATTTGGTTACCGTGGCATTCTCTGAAGTAAAACAGGTTAAAAACAGTTTGTTTCACCTTATATAGACAGGAGGGGAAAAAAAACAAATTTTTCAGTGATTATGTAAGCGGCTTAAAACAACCTATTAGAAAACAAACTTTCAGTTAAACTTTGTAGATTGAACCATAGAACCTAAAACACTAGATCTTTAAGTAAGTATTACGTAATCTTAGTATAGTCCCGGGCATTCCTGAGCTGGATACATGAGAATGGATAGAGCAGGTATCAGATTTAAAATGGTAGTAGTATTCCTGTACTAAATTTCAGATTTATGGTGATGTAATCCATTGACTCGTATGAGTGACATTGGTGTAAAATCAGATTGGAGTAATGCAGTGGTGAATTGGGCCCAGTGTTACATTTGAAGTATTTTGAGTTAATATGAAAGGATTTGTCCTTCTGTGACAAGTAGATGAAATGATTAAAACATTAACTGTGTGTTCTAAACTAGTAAGATCCATCATACAGTTTTCCATGTTAAATAATTGAACTGTAAGTATAGTAGTAGTAATAGTCTTATTTGCAGCTATTGTTAAAACAATACAATAAAATGAACAATAAATTGTGTATAACATAATAACATTTATAAAGATTATAAATTATCATTTTTGCTAAATGTACAGTAAAAGCTTTGTTAGCTGGCATGAGTGGGGGAAGGGAGGTGCTGGTTATCTGAGAGTTATACCAGCCCCAGTCTGCAGCAGCAGCCCGCCCTGCCCCATGCAGATCCCTTTCCCCTCCTCCCCTTCTGTTCCCCCATAGACTTTCCTGCCTCGGGGTGCTCGCACACACTCAGCTGTTCCCCACCCCCCACAACATTTCTTTTCTACCTCTGCCTTTGCAGATATCAACTAGATGGGCTCCCAGCAGTTCCTCTATCAGCAGTGTCTCTGACTAATGTAAACAACAGAAATACTTGATGCGCATGCTGGATAGACTCAGCAAAGATTCCAGTTGCTACAGTGAGGATTTGTATTGGGGGATATTGGAAATTCCAGTTAATAGAGTATTCCAGTTAGTAAGATGCCGGTTAACACTGCTTTTACTCTATTCAGTAATATCCATTCAACTACCATAATGGCCATAGCAGAAGCTTCCATGTTGTAGCCCTGTCAGAGTCCAATGAATCTGCTAAATTCTGCTAAATATCTTGTCGTCAACAATGTCAGACATTCATGATCCTGAAAAAGCATCTAAGCTGCTTGCAGATGTTAAAACAAAACAAAACAAAACAAAAAACCCCCCCGCAGCACTTGAAATTCCACGCGGTCCTGCACAGAGCCCAGCACGTGCCCAGAAGAGGCAGCAGCTTAGTTGGACCTGCCCTGCCCAACGGCTGTATAGATTGGGCACTTCAGTGGGGCTTTTTTGGTGCTTTTATCTAATAACTGGTTGACTCCGCCTTAGATAAAAGCACCAAAAAGCCCTGCTGAAGTGCCCGATCTATACAGATGCTGAAGAGCAGAGTCAAAGTAATGCACTGCTTGTTCTGGTAAAGCACTTGTTTAAACATCTGCAAACAGCCCTAGTTTATGACAAGGACACAAGAAAAAGAATCCATCCTACCAGTTTATACAAAATTAAAAGTACTAGTACCACTTGTTTAAAAAAAAAAACTTTAAGTGCTAATACACTTAGTTTAATAGTACACTTGACTGGCATGGGGTGAAGAAGCAATAGGTGAGTGCAGAGAAACACAGGAAATAAAGGCATGCAGCTTGATGTAAGTGAGTTCTTGTCCATGTAGGCAGTTAAGTTCTTTGGGCAAGGACTATTGCAATATGTGGTGGGAGTTGTGTTATGTTTCACAGAAGCACATACAGTGGTGATTCAGGTGATTCTACATTCTTACTAGAGTAAATCTGGAATAACTATTCAAGCTAGTGAAATCTCTTTGGATTTACAGTGGTGTCAGTGGGTGCCTCTACACATGCACTTTACTGCACCCTATAAAGTGTCACTGTCTACATGTACTCCAGTATTAGGGTGCCGTAAATTAATTAACTCTGCCATAGGATAGTATTGTCAGGAACAGTACTATCCTATGGCGGAGTAATTACATGTACTGAAATGCATGTAGACAGTGACAGGCTGGCTGAGGCACAAGGATGCTAAAGTGTGGGGGCTGCCTGCCACCTAACTCCACAATTTAGCACCCTTGTGCCCCAGCCAGCCCCTCCGCTGCTCAACGCCACCACCCAAGCTGACGCCCTGTGCTCTCTGCCACCCTGCGGCTGCTCCACCCCAGCTCAAACTGCAGTGGTCCCAGGCTCACGTGCAGACACTGTGCCCAGGAACTGGTGACTCTGGCACAAACTGCAATGGAGTTTATCACATCACCTTAATAGCACACCTAGATGCACGCAGGGAGAGCTAAATTTAGACTACGACACTTAGTGAAAGCTGAGAAAGAAGGCATCACCTGACTATGGGTTAGAAAGTGCCGAAGGACCCCGTATAGTTGAACTTATCATACCCAGAGGGACCTATTTGAATTTAGTTAAAGGAAAATACTGAAAGAGAAAGTATATGCTAACATCATACATGTGGCCAGTTAAATTGGCAGTGAGGTTCAAAGTAGTCTGCATTTATTCCTAACTGAAAATAAAGTTGTGCTTTGTCATCTGTTGCTTTTCTGACATTTGACTATCTGTGCCTAGTATATTTTCCACTAACATCTGCCCAGAGATGAATAAAAAACTTAACTGCAATGAGAACTGCTCCTATACTTGTGTGGGCACTCGATTTCACACAATTTTCTTTAATCCCCTGCGATGTTGAATTACAGCCATCACCAAAATAGCAGAGGTTGTAAAAATAAGTAAATACATTTTAAGTCATGCTACTAGTCGAAGCAGATTCTGAGGAAGTGCCAGTGGTGGAAGGTTTAGACAAAAATGCATAGGTCAAAAGGTAGTAGCTGCTGGCCTTAAATAAGGTTATGTGGATTTTTTTCCAAGTGGTAAGCAAAGCCAACTCCCATTAAAGTAAATGGGATTCTTGAGTACTCGGTATCTTTGACATTTAGGTTGTCACTGACTTTATTTTGGCATTTGTTTGCTTACAGCAGAAGTGAATTTGGTTTTCAGTTTCTTTAAATGTGTTTGCAGCTACCATGTAATGCATTAATGGGCCCTCCTATAGGCCAGATGTAGTTACCACATTAATGGCAATATACAAAATATGTCAGTAACATTTAACCCGACCACAAAATGTCACAGGCCTTTTTAAAGTATTTGCTTCAGATTTACCCCACAACCCTTTGTAAACTCCGGCGCTTTATTTATTTATTTATTTTACTGGCTCTTCTCTTGGGACAGAATTATAAGAGAAAAAACTAGGCATTTAAGCTGGAAAATTTACCTATGGAAAAAAATGAGATTCATGTGACCATTAAATGTTAATTTTATCACTTTCCCCCCCCTCTCTTTGTTAGGTGAGTCATCACCCACCTATTTCTGCATGTCATGCTGAATCTGCAAATTTTGTCTTTTGGCAAGGTAAAAATCCATTTACTGCTATAGTCCTTGTAATTGCTTTATCTTTCATGTAAACAGAAACATCTAGCAGATCAAGAGGAACAGTTTCCCAGATGTTAAATAATATTAGAACTACTTTGGCACTCTTTGTCCCTAAACCCTGTCATGCTTTCTACACTATTTGCAATTGCATATAATTTCATACAATCGTTTCTTATAAAAATTCATTCATGAATGTTAAATACAAACTTCTGTACTTCCTAAATGTGCTGAAATGTTTTATAGTTTAAATTTTAAAATAAGAACTGCATATCACAATATCAAAACGTGGTATGTTAAAATAATAATACTAGGACTGTAAAACTGAAGGCTAGCACCTGGTTGCAGGTGGTTCTGTTTTGCCTATTTAGCGCACATTTTGAGAATTAGCTTAAGTATTTGGGCAAGAAACTGGATGTAATGCCACTTTCTTCCTCTCTTCTGAGTCTTCAGAAGTTACTACAGAATGGCTGGAGTTTTACGAACTGGGCCTTAACAGTCCCTATTTTCTTTTCAAAATTGAGTGCAACGGCTTCCTCTTACGATTACAGCTATTGTTCAGTCATGAGCTGAGTTACCTCAGGATTATTCCCTGAGCAACATAGTTTGTATTGTTAGAGTATACAAATGAAATGTAACTATGTTTTAAATGCTCAACTGTCCAGTATTTTACAATGCATGCTTTAGGTACGTTACAACTTTTAATCCCATTATAGTTGGTTGATTTGATTATCGTTATTATAGATGGAGCCATATTAAAAAAAAAAAAATAGTGAGCTCTAGCTAATCTGGATTTGATTGCAACATTAATATATGCTTCTGCCATGTGTACATATATATATAAAAAATAAAGTATGACAAGAATTTTTTATTCTTGACCTGAAAGAAATACTGAATAACTGTTTAGTCACTAGGTTAGACCATATTAGAAGAAGATTGGATAATATTATGGAGGAGGAAGAAGCTGCCCAATAAAAATAGAAACAGTGATTCATATGAATCACAAATACTACCTCTGTCTATGGTACTAGTCTGTGCATTAGAGCAGTGGTCTCCAAAGTGGGGTGCGCACACCCCAAGGGGTGTGTAAGACAATCCATTGGGGTGCGGGAAGAAAATATTAGAACTTCTATTTATATATAAAGGGCTGCACGATCAACAAAGTTTGGAGACCACTGCATTAGGGAACAGAATACGCCTCCATAAAAGCTGGCCCTGTAAGTCAGAAACCAATGTTTCTTTTTGGTACCTGAGAGGACAGAATCAGGGCACATGCAGTCCTTTTAAAAAGTGCTTAGCTGGGCTGTTGGAAGATGCTGACAACATTTTGGCTTTTGCTAGGAGAGTGCAGGTGGTTAATGCTGATGCCTGTTTCCCCAGGACAATCCTAAGGATATGTATAGCCCTAAAGGACATTTGTCATTGAGGCAGTTCTTTGGATCATATGAATCTCTCACCTATCACATGACCTTCTTTATAGAAAAGGAATTAACTTGGGATTAGTCAAAGGACAGCTAAAAGATAGGAAAATTACCTGACTTTTGCTGAACATAGCAAGACTATAGATTGATTTTTTTTTTTTTTTTTTTTT